CGGCGCGGCGCGCGCGCGCCACGACGCCCCCGCCGCCATCCACGCGCCGTCCGGCCCGCGGCAGCTCTCTACCCAACACATACAAACATGACCCGTGAGTCTGGGTGGATGCGAGAAGGCGACGTTATTAATGTGTCCCGCGGTTCTTCTCTACGCAACACACACACACACACACACACACACACGACGTATGCGTCCTGGTCGGATGCGAGAAGACGACGTTACGAATGTGGCCTGCGGTACTTCTCTACGCAACACACACATACATACAAACACACACACATGGCGTGTGCGTCCTGATTGGATGTGAGAATGCGACGTTACAAATGTGAACTGCCGGTCCGGATGGCCGAGATCGCTAAAGCAGTAGCGATCTCGGACCGATGGATCGCGGGTTCGAGTCCCGCCTCAGATGTATTGTGTTCGTCCTTTCACCCCTATCATCATCATATCGTGTCACACTCATAGTTACCATACGGTTATACGCAATAGTGGTCGCTAATGATCGCGCATAATTGATGAGACTTTAAATACGGGGGAAAATGTGACCTGTGGCAGTTCTCTACGCAACACACACAAGCACACATGGCGTTCGTGCTTTGGTTGGATGTTGCACGACACCTCCGACGCCATTTGGCACGCGGAAGCTATTCTCTACACACACGCGCACGCGCACGGCCGCGCACATATGACGTACGGCCCCTGGGTTGAGACACCATATACTCATTAATTAAATAGATCCTGTACGATGATTTTAAATGTGATTCGTTTAAAGATGAAAATAGTTTTATACGCGAGTATAACTTCAAATGATCAGTCTCCAAACTGTGTGTTACAACAAATTGTTCCAGCCCTGAGACCGGGTAAAAATTCCATTATTTCCAATTTTAGTAACAGAAACAGAACAGTGCTCTTACATCGTACGTAGAATCAGATAGTTAATTTAATAGATATTTAAAGTTGTTTATTCGAGATTCTCCTCATTTCCACTCACTAGTGCTACGGAGTGGCGATATTCAGAAGACCCAAATCCCAAATTGCGATACAAGGAGGGATACAAATTGCGATACATACGATAAGAGAAGGCTTAGTAAGACTGAGTGTTCTCGAACTTACACACTCATCACCCTCCGCGCTTCATTCTTGCCCAAGCATAGGATATCACACATTTTGTGTACCAATGAAAATTAACAGGCAAACGAAGAGTGAAGCAAAATTATCGTTCGATTTAGAACCAAAAATATCTACATGGCATGTAGTTATATGCGTTGAAGTTTGATTAAAGCACTCGTTAGAAAGCGCAAAAATATTTATTATAGCAAGTGTGTTTCAAGGCGTTCTTTTTTACTGTTCTCTTTAACAAAAGAATGTCGTTACTTAAAAACTGCAAAGATATAATATTGTGTGTTATAACCTGTATCGAAAAACATATTGCAAATAAATCGCACTTGCCATCTATGCAAATCATATGAACAACTGAAGAGCATCCAAAATTGGGAACAAGCCAATATGTTTCATTTGTCTAAAATTATTCATGCTACCATCATTTTTGTTTCAGATTGATTTCAGTTTATTCCCCTTGTCCCCCATTCTGTTCAATTTCTGTCCGCTTACTTTCTCTTCTCCACAAAAGATGTGATGCAATGCAGACGAACAAAAAGAATCAAACCATGTCGACAGGAGACTGGCAAGGTTAGAAACTGCTATTATTTTACAATTGCAGTTTATTACAGTAAAATAACAGGGACAAGTCACAAGAAAAGAAACCAGTAGAACATAACTATTTCAAAGGCATTGAAGAACAACATAAGAGACGATAAATGAAAGCTCGCGATCAATGACACTGTAGTAGACGTTTCTTTAAGAAATTTAAAACATCGTGTAATAAGTCATCAAATTGCAATATAAAAAATTAAATAGTATAGTTGGAGGAAGAAAACGTTGATAGATATTAGCATGCAGAAGAGTGTGGGCAATATAAATGACAATTACCAGCTTCCGACCTTGAACGTATAATATATTTCTTGTATCAGAAACCGCTCATGTAAGGATAGGCGGTTACAATATCATGCGCATTACATACATTATTAACTATTACAAAATATAAACCATAGATCAAAAGCCTCCTTGCAGAGTTAGTGTTGAAAGTATTTTTCAGTAAATGTCCTAATAACAAGAAATTAGATTTTGAAAAATTGTTAACATATATTTTTATTTGACGATTTTGAATTTTGATGAATACTGCAATAATACTATCATATCTGTACTTCTCGAAAAAATAATATTGATATTGTAATTTAATGACAATCAGCATTTGATTTATAATAATAATAATTTTATTATTATTATTATTATTATTATTATTATTATTATTATGCAATAACTACAAGTCCTAATACAATAACTACTAAGTCTTACAAATGTCTACTGCACGCAAAACAATCGTAAATGGTTAATGAAACTTTCAATTGAACATGTGGTGGGAAATTTCTTACTACGGACTTACACATTTGATATTTGCCCCTAAATTGTAGGCAACTTTTTATGTACGGATGTTCGACAGGTTCCGTACTGACGCAGTAAAGGAGATTCAACGTATCTGCCGAACACCTGGACTTAACATGGGATTGCTTAACCTTCAGGGGCAAAACACAGCATGTCACGAAAAAAAGAGCAGTTGCAGTATACCAGATTCATGATACTGTAACAAGGGAACGTGTTACAGTATCATGGGTTTGGTATACTGTAAGTGTTCTGTTTTTCGTGTATAAATGCATATAACGTCGTTCTGTGAAATGTCTCATACTACTGGCGAGCTCTCTCCATGCCCTAGAACAGAGATCGCCAAATCTACAATCGGGAGCTACTGATATCTTGCAGGGAAATTTTCGGTATATCGCATTGCCGTTCTCAGGATTTCACATCCGGAGTTGCGTAACAGAGCTCAGACATGCCTCGCGAAAACAGCCGTTTGCATACTTCCGCGCAACTGTCAGTCTCAGGCTTGTAGTTGATTTTATGACACTGGAGTTATGGCCGAAATGATTGGCGTGTACAACAGATATTTGCTAATGTGGATAGTTTGATGAAAGCCATTATTTCTGTCCTGGTTTTGTTTCATAGCGCACCCTAAGTATTTTTGTTGAGGAGCTTTATAAGTCCGTTGCGAGGAGTACTTACCGCACTCGGGCGGTGCGGAGGGCCGGAACCAGGTGCGCAGCTGGCAGGCCTCCTGGTAGGCCAGCGCGGCGTCGCAAGGGCCGGCGGCGGCGCAGAGGGCGACGTAGGGCGTAGGGTCCACCCGAGCGAAGCATTCGCTCAGCGGCGACGACGCGTACTCAAGCACCTGCGAACACGCCCACTCACTCTAGTATATCAATGCCTTGTTTGATTGATCAGAGTTTCCGGACACTAAGGGCAACCGCTAAGGTCGTTACACCAGTAAGTATACTTTATGTTCTATAGCTGCTGGTGTTGGATGGCGAGATCCGGCGCTGACCTACACAACAGCTTCTCGGATTTTTCCCCAACCTTCGATCAGCAGGACACGGTCCTAGCCGCGACAGTCTCCGAGTTCTTGGCTGGTCTTCTGACATGTAGTGTAGTAGTGTAACGCACCACGCTCAGTCAGTGTACTAGCAATGTCGTTTAGTAATAGTTTAAATACTCGAATTCACAATATTACATAAATGTAGCTTCACTAAGCGCACGTTTTATTGAGATCTCCTTTTGCAAATTGTGGGAGGAGTAGTCGAGGTGGAGTAGAGGTACGCTTATTTTGTAAGCATTATCATAAAATCAAATCTGTAGTTCGCCGATGCAAATAAGTGTTTCTGCAGTTGGAAAGCAAAACTGAATACGCTTCAAATGGTTTTATCTAACATCTGTTTAACTATTATTCATCATTCATTATGTATAGTAAAAGAATGGGGAAGGGATTCTGGAGCTCAAGAAAATGTGCTCATTTTGCAACGTACGTCCCACGGTTTCGGTGGTAAATGGAATGAATTTGTATCAGTGGCTTGTGGAGAGCAAAAGCAAGTACCTGCTTGCAGGCGGGCGAGTCGTGCGCGCGCGGGGGCGGTGGGGGCGGGGGCGCGCGTCCGTCATCGCGGCATCGCCCCACGCGCCAGGCGTCGGCTGGGTGGGCGAGGTGGGCGGGGCCGAGCGCCCCGGCGTCCGCGCCCTCCAGCAGCTCCAGGTCCCGGGAGCGCTCGCGGTCGAAGGAGCCGAGCAGGCCGCGCACGCGCCCCAGCTGCCAGCTGGACACGCGCACGCTGCACGCGTGGCGGTCGACGCGGCAGCGGAAGACGAAGCCGGGCGCCGCCACCTCCAGGGCCTGCTCTGAGCGCCGCACGGCCAGGAAGGGCGTGGCGCGCGCCGGCAGCGCCAGCGGCCGCCCGTCCACGCGCACCGCGTACTCAGCCGACACGTGCACGGCGTGGTAGGGCGTGGCGATGGTGAAGGAGCGCTTCACGGCGGACGGCGCCTGCAACACGGTGGACACCTCAGCGGACGGGTCTCACTTCTACGTTCTCGCTACAGCGGAGAGAGGAAGTTACGTAATTTTTGCGAATGTTCGTCAAAAAAACTCTTTTTACAGGGCCTTGGTTACGAAAAAGTGGATAAACCCAGTTGCTAAATTGAAGGGAAAAAACCATCTAACACGTGGAGTAGGCACAATCCGTTTTGTGGGTCCTTGACACCGAAAAATCGAGTTACGGCAAAATGGCTGTATGCCTGTGTGTGTCAGGGAACAACACTAGCGGTCAAAAGCGTTCAGCCTATTTTCTCCAAAATTGATATTCCGCATTTGGCAGATACCACGGGTCCTTGAATTTTAAATAGATACGTTAATTTTTTTGGGGGGGGTACTTTATATGAACTTCCTGGGACATTTTCTAAATTTTCAAAAATTGGGTCATTGCTTTTATTAAATTTTCTTGTTGAATAGAGTAAAGGACGTTTAAGAGAATGACGTAGTTATTACTCGTATGTTCGTTGGCAACCCTGATTTTTCGAAAATGCCAAAAGTTTTATCCGGAGTCTTCCTTCAACTAAAATATTGAAGTCAGAGATTTTCCCTTAATGAAATATGCTTCATAACGGGATCTCCCCATTAAAGACTACCTCAACACAATTTCACATTTACTGCGAACCATTGAAGTTAAACTATTCATATATGTAACATTTGCAGTGCTACATTTGTAGTTGAAATTATTATTAGTATAGGGGTTATTGCAGAACCACATTATAAAAGAAAGAATAACTATAGGTTATTTGTACCTCCTTTAAAATTTGCATTTTCGTAAATAAGATGGGTTGCCTATTAACCATCGATATTCTCTCGTGAAAATACAAGATATTGTGTTGCGTCACGTCTGTACCATGTACAAGAACGTTGGCTAAATGCAGGAGTGAATTTGCCTTTTAACACTCAACACCATCTTGAGTTATTCGTTTTATTTCTATTTGCGGGCATCCGTATCGAGACGCCAAGAGATTTTTACCTGCACTCCTGGAAGCCGTGCGAATGGAGGTCGCCTTAGCGGCGCACCACAGCGCACTACCTGTTACTATGGGACGCCAAAACGCACTTTTTCATTACCCGCGTTGCAACGACATCGTGCCCAAACTAGCCGTTGATTGACAAATTCCATTACAATGCCCGACCCAACACGCTCATCCAGAGAACGCCGAAAGTAATTGGGGCGGTAACTGGCGATTTTCTTCAAGCGAGGAAAGTAAAATATTAAACAATTATAAATAATACAAAAATAATGTTTAATAAAAAATGATAAAAAATGAAGAGAAAAGTCAACATATCTAGTATAAGAGAATTTTTCGATTGACGATTGGAAGAATTATATTAAGTGTAACCTTGACCTTTAAAATTTTCTTAAGCAGCACAGTTCAAATGAATGATAATAAGGCTCGTAAAAAGTTTTTTTCCTTCCAGTTTCCTTGATTTCAACTCTTGAAAGTGTGAAAATCTTCAATAAAGTTTCCAGAAAAAAACCCTAGCCATTGATTAAAGTTTTATTAGTAGGCAACCTGGCCGTTGACCCGAAGCAAAGAGGCTCAGGGCGTAATGCACTTACTTCGCATTCGGGAGGCCCGGGTTCAATTCTCGTGAAGGCCATCCTGACCGGCGTTATCGTGGTTTCCCTCAATCATCCAAGCGAATTCTGAGATGTTTTTTTTTCTGGAAAGCCACGACCGCACTTGCCGAATTCGTTAACTATGTGAAAATACGAAAGTTAAGCGAATTCGAATGATTGCAGTTTCCAGGTTGAGTGACCGACTATTAACCTGGGGATCCAACGGCGCCGAGGTCAATTGCCTTTTACAGAGCACATAATGGCTGAAAACCAGTACTACCAGCGTACCTGTCCGTTGAAGTGGACGAGGATGGCGAAGGTGTTGCGCGAGAGGTCGCCGGCCAGCAGGTAGGAGCAGCGCGGCGCGGGCAGCTCGAAGGCGTTGCCGTCGAAGGAGACGACGTGGCGCGCGCCCAGCAGCTGGCCCACGGCCGAGAAGGCCGGCAGGCTGTGCGACAGCGCGCGCTCCGCCAGCGCGCGCGGCGACTGCGCCGTCAGCTCCTTCAGCCTACGCACACAGCCACACTCTCGCTCACCTCCTTCCGTTACGTGGGGCGAAGGAGAACGCGATTCTCACGGAAGTACACGTTTGGGAGATTTTTTTCACACGTCTGCGCGTCCGTCTGCCCGGCTGAGCGTCCGCATTTTCCGTCCGTCTGTTCATCCGCCGGTCAATCAATCCAACCGTCTGTCATGCTGACCATCAGTCCGTTTGTTCGTCCGTCCGTTCGGTCGTCAGTCTTTTGGTCCGTGTGTCTATCTGTGCGTCAGTCCACTCATCTGTCCATCCCTCAGGGTGTCTGTGAATAACATTAAATATGGCACAGAATTTTCTGGAAAATGTGTATTCTCAATCGGTCTGGCCAAAGCCGTCCCCCTTCGAATTTGAAACATCTTTTAACAAACAGAGAAGGAAAGAAAGAGAGATAGGAAGAGAAACACAGAGACAGAAACAAAGCGAGATGAGAAAGAGAGAAAGAAAAAAGAGAGAAAAAGAAACTGAGAGAAAGAAAAAGAAATAAAGAAAGAGAAAAAAGAAAAAGATTGAAAGAGAGGAAGAAAGAGAGAAAGAGAGGAAGAAAGAGAGTAAGAGAGGGAGAAAGAGAGCGAAAAAGAGAAGGAGAAAGTGACACATAAAGAGAAAGAGAAAGAAATAAACAGAGATAGGGGGTGGGCTGGACGCCGGGCCTCACGTGTAGAGTAGTCGCTCCTTGGCATCCTGTCGCTGCGCGTGGGCGGGGCCGGCGCCGGGGCCGGCGCCCAGCTGGCGCAGCTGGTCGAAGCGCGGCGCGCGGTCGAAGCCCTCCCAGTCCACGGGCAGCGGCTGTTCCAGCACCACCTCCCCCTTCTCCGGGCGCAGCGCGCGGCGCTGCTGGCTCCACGCCTCCAGCGCGGCCGCGTTGCGCGGCGTCGCCACGTACGTCTCCAGCAGCCACAGCGCCTGCAACCCGATCGCTGGCTCATTATTGATTCCCGGCGCACCAACTGCTAACGGCCTTCGACCCGGAAGAGGGGTACATGCTTTTTTTATCGTGAAAAATTGCCGTGAACTTTTCCCGCTGTATGGCGAGATACCGCGCCGTCCTACCCGTAGGCTTGAGGGTTTTCCCAACCAGGTATCTCCCACCAGTGAGGCACCGCCCCAGCCGGGACCAGCTCTAAGCTCCACGTTGGTCTCGGCCTGTATGGTAGTATAGTGCGCGCGTGTGTGTGTGTGTGTGTGTGTGTAGATAAGGAGTCAGAATTAATATCTACAATTCCAATGCCATTAATTAAAATTATTGGATAATTCGAATAGACTTATTTGTCATGAAATTTGTATTCAAAATTATGTTAAATATGTTTATCGAATTATAATTTTGGAAACACTAACAGGATAACAGGATTTTTTAGGTATACCTGACAATTTGTGTTTTGATAAAGAAATAGCTAATATTAGCTATTAGTAATGCTAGCAGCTCGCTAGTAATGTATTTCTACGAATTTAGAAGAGGGTATATTCTGAAAAGGGAGGGAAATACTCATGTCGTTCAACATAACGTCGGTCCTTTGAAGACACGACGGCCTGGGATTAAGGGGACGCATATATTCCTGTGTAACATTTTGGGTTATGTTAGTCGATTTTTAAATATTGCTTGGTTTATGACGAATGAACGTACTTAGCGTTGCACTTAGTGTTTGTAATAGGTGTGTTACCACATTTGCTTTTCGCATTTTTGTTTTTAAAATTTTCGCGCATAACCTTTAATTCTCAATTATAAACCTTCCTTGAGTTTAACTCAGTCTACGCTCGTGTATTTTCGACTTAGATGCGCTGGAGATAGGTGTTGATTTTCCCCCCAAATCTTAACAAGACATACAATATTGTTCCTGATGTATTTACCGTTTATAAACAATTTATAATGCTGGCATGTGCTGACAACCTAATTTTTATAGTCCAGGGGCCAGGATCTTTAATATGATTTCTTTGATTAGTATTGAACCCTTTCCTCGTAGTGTAATAGTAGGTTATAGAGCGATGCGTAAGTAATTTATTGTGAAGTGAGGTGTCATGCAATGTAGAACAGAGAAATAATGTAGGAAGTGATTAAAGGGTCATAATGAAGTTAAGTATAGTTGAACAAAAATTCAGTGCGAGTTAAATTATAGATGCTTCTTTTTTAAGGTAATTTAAATGTTTTATGAATTAGACAGTTTTTATATCATTATTTTTATTGTAAATGTTCTGATTCTATAAGCAGACGTTCAAATTCAATCTCACTACTCTTCCAAAACTGTAGCTATTTCGTAAGTTGAAGATGCTGTGTGATCAAATTTCTAATTATCGGTACTCAGTCAACGGAGCATTGAAAACTATAAATTTTTGGTAGTAATATACTCTTCGCTTAGTTGCAGACAAATTCCAGAAAATCGTCAAAAAACAACAACAACGAAATGTTTGGGTTTTATTACAACTTCTGAAGCGCCACTCGGAAATCGGGACAAACTAAGACTACTCATACCAGAGGCCTTCTTCTGAGTTAAATTAGTTGTCAGAATTTCGGTAGTTTCGAAACACTCATTTGTTTTACCGATGCTTGTACATGATATAAAAACATCATTTTATTTTGCGTTTTATATATTGACAAATCACTTTTTTTATACAATTTACTAATTTTTTAAAATTTTGTTGTTTGTTTCTTTTTATTTCTTTTTCAATTTTTTTTAAATTTAAGTTTGGGCTGGTCCGTAAGCAGGAAGCGGAGGCGTGACCTGGCTCACCTGTTGATAGAGCTCGCGCACGGTGGGCGAGAGGGCGGGCGCCGCCTGCTGCACGCGCTCCCACAGCAGCCGCACGCTCTCCTGCAGGTCGTCCAGCACCAGCACGGCCACGCTGCAGGCACCGCACACGTCATTCGCATTTGCAAAGCATTGGATAATTGCTTTAAATGGCAACTCAACAAACGAACGGAGGAAATCGGAAATACGAACTTTTGTTCATTGACAAAAAGTGTTCTTTTTGTTCCCATATTCATTCACTAAAAGTTTGAAAGTTTATTCTGAGATAGCATGTGCCAATATAACCAGGCTAAGATGGAACGTGATTGCTCTTAAAACATATTCTGTCATTGCAGGTTTCTATCTTACGGTAGGTTGCCAGTAATTCATCACGTAACTTTAGTAAACTATTTTCTATACATTTCTCAGATTGCACTTGGTCTTTATTTTATAGACAGAAAATTGATTTGTTTTTGGAATATAATAATTTTATGTTTATAAAATAAAGACAAAATACAGTCTGACGAAGTTATTGTATCAACAGACGGAAAATAAAACAATATTTCAATGTTTTCTACACAATATTATTAAATCCAAATACCTGCATCTAAAGGTTCACCTCTATTGTTAGTTCTGTCTCATTTCAGCTCTTTCTTAACATGGCGTCTATTGCTTTAAAAAAAATATATAATATGACATTCCTAAATTTTTAAACTAAATTATACTAATTTCAAAGCCGTGAGCATTGCTTCTTCGAATTATATTTATGAATGGACAACTAAACTGATAAAACGAAGAAAAAATAATCAAAACATAAAGCAACTGTTTTGTATTGAATATATTTGAAATATTTGTTTTTCAAAAAGTGTTTGAATCTGGTTAGAAATCGTATACATTTTTCGGATTTAGAGTACTGTAGAAAGTAAAAAAATTGAAAAGATGATTGATATAAATGTTCACAACACAAATGGAATTAAGGTCTTAAGAATCATCAATAAAACCACTTTTACATCGCTGAGTAATCTGCGGTGTGAATCTCGTATTTTACTTCGAAATAAAACAATTTCTTTCGAGGGAGCTAGATTAACATTCAATCACTATATCTTGTGAGGTAGGACAGTTATATCAACGTTATAACTCTACTTTAGAGCTCATTAAGTTGAGATAACACCCTCCATATTCTCATCATTATATTCAGTTTATATTAGGCACTCCTTCCAATTTCGAAGATCTGATGTCTCTAATTTTCTTGACTGGAATTCAGGTCGTACTGCAAATGCCATCTAGTGGTGACTGAACTAGCTCTATCTATCGAGTCGCCATGACATGTTTGGCACGAACGCTTATGAAAACAATAATTAAATAGTGTTCAGTCACGGAAACAACTTAATTATGGTAACTTTTTTGTGCTTCACATCCACTAGATTCAACTAGTGCGCTACTCAATGCGATACAATCTATCTATAATGTAGAATGTGTTAAAAGACACTAAACAATTCGAATATATACGAATACTCATATATTTAAGTTGAAAAGTAAATAAATTCAGCACATCTATGATTAAGAAAATTGATTTCTTGTAACATAATGAAATCAAGTTATATTATTTCTAAAAGGCTTACGATTTAATAAAAGAATTAAAATGATAATGTTTTCTACATGCATAGCTCACATACTGACACATATATTTATCACTTCATTTGCACTACAAACATAAAGTTTCTTTCTAAAATATCTGTAACCATAATTTTTTTCTGAGCTAATATTCTACATTTTAAAACATTTATCATGAACATACAATAGCTACTCTATAAAATTACCGAATTTATCACATGGAACTCATCCAAACAGGAAAAACTGTTAGAAATTATATTAGTCTATGCCCTCTTGATGAAAGGGCCCATGAATATTTGAATGTGGTATTCACTACATCTTTTACAGTTGATGATTTGAGGACTTTATGGAACAACACATAGAGAGATCTAAAAGCCAGTATTCTTCACAAAAAATTGATGAGGTCCCAACCTTCAATAAACCAATAAACTAATCAGAAAAAAACCAAGTGGTTATATCAAGAATAAAACAAGACACTGTAAAATAAGCCACCACAACCTATTAAATAATATATAGTGTTACCCAAAATATAAATGTACATAAAAAATGCCTCAAATTCCTACAACAAAGGCAAAAATACCTTCAAGGAGAAAACCTTGAATCAATCCCTTGATTCAACTGCATATCAAAATAAAATTTAGAATTTTGCAAGAAAAATAATATTTCTGATTAATCATAAATGGAAATTGTACAAGTGTTAAAAATATATTACTAAACCACACGGACATGAATTCTTCTTAAGTCATGCCGTTTATGAACAAAGTCCCTGAATGTTTCAACGAATTGTATACTATTGTATTGCTGTGTAAAAAAATATTCAAGATGTGATGCAACAAACAATTTAAAAAACTATCATTGTACTTTAGCAATGAAGATATGATAATACTTACTTCTCAATTGTTTCAAATAATCGTGCAATGCTCAATCGGAATGGTCCGTCCAGCCACATTACTGTTTCCGTACACAATTCCTGCATTGCCCGCAGTTCCTTGACTTCCATGACGTAATCTACTATGGTCTTCGACAACTCTACAACAAGAGAATACACACAATACATAAACGCTGAGAAAAATAGACTTTTTTACTTGTTACCAATTTTTAATTGTTAACACTCATATATTTTTGTTTATCAGAAAATTAAGAATAGCCTCATAAATTATTTTATTAACGTGTTGGAAGATAAACACAACAAGAAATTCATAAAGAATAAATTTTACAAATTGGGCATATGACTTTTTTTTACTTTTCTGATAGTTTTCTTGATGCCATATCTAATATTCAGTCTTCGTAACAAGTTAAACTACAATATTTTCCCTGAAGGTTAGACAATTCCTTCCAAAGATGTTCGAAAGATACACTGTTTCCTTCTATTGCACGAGAACGTGGCCTGCATAACACTTGTGCATAACAAGTTGCCTAACATTCAGGGGCAAATACTACATGTCTAATGTTTATTGTCAAAACGTATCAAACGTTGGATCCCTGTAATATCGTAAAAGTTAGGGACGAGCGGTGATTACTGTGTGTACCCCAGATGCTAGCGGTAAACTAGCATCCCTCCGTCTCTCCTATCCCAATTTTATTGTTTTCTGCTGTAATTGTGCCAATGCCTACCATTTTCAATTTCCTGATGGTTTCGTGAAACTAGGTCAAATGAGGAGACCTTGTAATGGTTCCCCCAAAATATCATTAATAATACACTCACTGGAAGACATACTACACAGAATTATTCCTCACACTCGTTAGGCAAAGCATTTTTACTACACTATAAAGTTACTAAAAATCTTCACGACAACACGCCACAGGCAGAATTCAATGCAGTATACTGATGTAAATAGATTTTCAAACACTATATTTTGAAGTGTAAAGCGGGCGTAGCCTGAAAAAAGACATTGTAAAAGGAGAGTTGCGTCTCACAATTTTTGTATATTTTTATAAATCCTAAAGATATATTTACGTACTAATAACTACATAAGTGCAATTTTTGGGGCGTCTTCCTAGAACTATAATATTTAAGATACAGAATTTTCTTAATGAAATTCGCTCTTTTAAATACGGATCTTTAAATAAGTTTACGTTCAATTTTTCAAAAATACGAGTAGTATTTGTGTAATTTGGCGCGAAATATAGGCAAGTTAAAATTTTTATTAACAACGTTTTTCTCAAAAACCACTCCAGATATTTTCTTTATATGTTCTACTCATATATAATAACGGTCAGTAAAAATATGGTCCTAGTGACATTAGTTCCGTTTTTTTAAAAATTACAAAAGAGTTAACATTTAAAAACTACAAAATTGGAGTTAGAGATTTTTACTTCAATTGTCTATCTCGTCTTGTTGTCTTGAAATACTTTATTTTAAGAGAGATTGTTTTCCTTAATGGATAAAAACGTATCTTCAAACACGTTCATGTTAACATTTTCCAAAATAATAGTTGTCGTGTAATTTGACACAAAATACAGGCAATTTAAAAACATTTTACATTTTTCTCTCAAAAATCGTTCAAATTTTTTTATTTAAATTGTTTTTATGAATAGTAGATGGAACTCTTAAAAGAATGGCGCGGGTATCATTTTCATTAAACTCTCTGAATTTTCGAAAAGTGCATATTGAGAAATATCTCTAAAGTAGCAACGCTAGTTCCATATTTGAAAATATGTTTATAAAAGTTTAAAGCGTCAGCGTCGCAATACTCAGATAGTGTTAAGTATAAGCTATGAAAACGAAATATGGCAAAGTGCTTTCTTATCAAAAGTAGTTTTATTTTCTTACTATATAGACAGATTTTTATAAGAATGGCCAAAGTGACAGTTTGCGAAACAAGTGAACATTACAAGTGTAATTCAGAGAAGTATCCCTCCGCCGCGTCTGCTGTTTAGTTACGCCATTCGTAGTGTTTGTTGACGGCTCATGCGAAGACATTGCTATACAGAAGTCTACGCGTTTCACTCAGTTTTCACAATCGTGTCCCAATTATATATACAAAAAGCAATGCATAGGACCACGAAACGCTCTCGAACACAGCTCGCCACCTTAAATGCAGAAACGTGCATCGTCACCAGATCGCATCTCACATTCAAGACTCGATTTTAAAACAAACAATATTTATCACATAAAAACTGAATTCAATGTAATGTATATTAAAAAGGATTTTTACAGAAGAGCACATAGCTCTGCACTTCCGAATTTCAATTATTTCTCGAGACGCACTATATTTTCGTCGGATGAGGACGTCACAACAGGAAGTGTCGAAGCCATTTACAAGGTAGCCAACTGGAAACGAATGAATGGAGGAAGGAGAGTCTAATAGGTTCAAGAACACAGCGACCATAGAACATTCAGTTGTGTTACCAGAACTAGCTGTCAGAACGTCCCATTCTAACAAAAATCTCTCTATACTAGAGGCGACTGCGAGGCGCGTGCGCGTGGCGGCCTCTGACCTCTGAAGCGGCTGCTGAGCTCGAAGAAGGCGTGCGCCAGGTGGTCCGCCGCTTGGAGCGCCAGCTCCGCCGCAGGCTCCACCAGGCGGCGCTGGGCGAGGGTGGCGGCGGCGCGCGCGCGCTGCCCGGCGTCCCCGAGCGCCGCCCCCGTCGCTCCCAACAGCGCCATCGCGCGGTCCAGCAAAGCCGCGTGCGCGGCTACCGCCTGCCCCTGCACCAACATTCATTCATTCAGTTGTTATGTGATTCCGGGTGCAGCAACTGCTAAGGTCCCTCCAGCACGGACGCGTGCGAAGCCACCGCCTGGCCTTGCAACATCATTCATTCATTCATTCATTCATTCAGTTGTTAAGTGATTCCGGGTGCAGCAACTGCTAACGTCACTCCAGCATGAGTGGGTGCGAAGCCACCGCCTGCCCCTATACCATCATTCATTCATTCATTAATTCATTAAGTTGTTAAGTGATTACGAGTGCAGCAACTGCTAACGTCACTCCAGCACGGCCGCGTGCGCAGCCACCGCCTGCCCCTACACCATCATTCATTCATTCATTCATTCATTCATTCAGTTATTAGTGATTCCGGGTGCAGCAACTGCTAAGGCCGACGATCCTTCGGTCCGAGACCGCCACGACACTACTGCCTTAGCAATCACGGCTACCCATCGGCTGCCCTTAACGTTACATACGTGCTATTTGGGCAAAACACAAATGAAAAATGAGTCAAAAGCAAACGAAAGCAGGGTGATGGTGATGGCGATGATGGTGGAAGTGGCGGTGATAGTAATGTGGTGGTATATGGTGAGCATGTGGTGGTGATGGTGATGGAGGTGATGGTGGTGGGGGCTAGTGGTGGTAATGGTAGTGGTAGTGGTGGTGGTAATGATGATGGTGGTAATAGTGATGATGGTGATATGGTGTTGGTGGTGATGCTGATGATCTTGGTGCCGGTGGTGGCAATAGTGGTGGTGGTGGTGGTAATAGTGGAGATGATGGTAGTGGTGATGGTGATGGTGATGGTGGTGGTGGTGATGGTGGTGACAGCGGTGGCGGTGGTACCTTGATGTCGGTGAGGGCTTCGCCGAGCGCCGGGAGCACGTCCTCCAGCGCCAGCGCGTCCGAGGCTACGAGCACCACCTGCAGCGCGGCGTCGAGCGCGGCGCGCGCCCACTTGAGCGCCGCGTGCCCGCACGCCTCCGCGCCGCGCCGCACGCCGCCCCTGCGCACACGCGCAGCGGAACACGGCCCGTTAATACGAAGCACGGGTGGTCGGTACACCGGCATTGCAAATCGACCCTTTCGCTTTCAAGAAATCCTTCATATCAGGGCATTTTTCGGCACAATTGGTGACGTATTGGCATTTTTTCCCGCTCTTGTTCTCACTTTTGAGAGAACGTTTTGCATGACTTCACTTATGCACACGTTCCCAGTGTCCACGTGTTTGAGTGGATTGGAATGCTACATCTTAGCTGCATTTTCCCGAGTGTCCTGAGTGTCCTAACATCTTAAGCAATTCGTTTATAATGATACTTTTTAGCATTTCTACAAATTTGAAAACTAGTCCCTAATTTCGCTCGTTTTCAAAAATGAACTCACTGAAAAATGCTTAACATTATAATATAATTTGCATAATGTGCTAATTTTTTTGTATTCCAGCATTATAAAAGAACCTTTTCTGTTACAAGACATCGTTCATAATCGGTCATTTTACGGAACAAATAATGACGTATTAGATTTTATGTTACGAATGATTGCGTCATCACGCATTCAGCCAATCGTAGCGAGAGAATTGTGGGAAGGCAGAATTAAGCGAAACACCCGACCACCGTTTTCTCATGCAGATGTCCAATATCCAACACGTCACAAGAAAGTTGTTTCGCAAAATTAAGTTTGATTCTTTTTAATAATGTACTTAGAATGCTGTAATACAAAAAACATCTTAAGCAATTCGTTTATAATGATACTTTTTAGCATTTCTACAAATTTGAAAACTAGTCCCTAATTTCGCTCGTTTTCAAAAATGAACTCACTGAAAAATGCTTAACATTATAATATAATTTGCATAATGTGCTACTACCGAATCGTTTAGAATAATGGTAATGGCATTTAATTTCCAAAAAGGTGTTAGCAAATATTTGCAATAGCCGTTCCAAAATGCGCAGTGAAACTGGAATATTTATTCATGTTGTTCACAATACAAAAATTGCTTTCCAGATTTCATTTAAAAAATAAGTTAATTTTTGTGTCACAAATGCTGCTTTTCTAAGATTTCTTAAAACATATAGAGTGTTTGTTATTAAAAAGCGACCTTTAAATAAATAAATTTAAAAGATGTAGAGTATAATGTGTATATATAAATACTGTTTACGAAAAAATATTTAAAAAGCTTCTTCGGCTAAATTTTTAAACAATGGAAAAGACATTGTTTTTGTGTGTTGTTCACTAAACAAATATTGTTTAAAAAATTGTTTTAATATTGTTAACATTGTTCCATGTAAAAAATTATTGATTTTATTGGTCAAATATGCTCCTCTTTAATTACATTTTACTTTAAACCATGGATCTATTAGTTTCATTTTCGAAATTCTGAAGTCATTACTACTTAACCCTCACGGACGTGCGGGTACGCCCATGCCGAATCTAGAAACGCAATATTTAAAAAAATATTTTCCCAGAAATCTTTGGGCATAGAATGATCATAAAATAAATAAAACTTATTTTAAATTGGGAAGAAAAATAATTTTAGGTTTTAAAGCGTTACGGGTTATCGCGCACTAACCAGAAGGCGGCGGCGGGCCCGCGGACGTCGCTCAGCAGCGCCCGGACGTCCGGGAACAGCCCGGCAACGTCGTCGGCCAGCGGCAGCACGTCCTTGCCCACGGCGTCCAGCTCGACGCGAGCGAAGGCGCGCCACTCGTCCATTTGCGGCCACGCCACGCGCGCGTCCCAGCTCGTGTGCCACAGGCGCGCGTGCGCGTCCGCGGCGGCGGCTGCGGCCGGCGCCACGCGCTCCAGCTGCTGCTGCACCACCTGCCCCACCTGCCACGCCCCCCGCGCGCCGACGTTAGATAGACGAAGGCTCAGTCGAAATCAAATTTTCGAAATCGAAACCAAAATTCTCCTGCGTCTGCAGGAGAATTCTAGAGGCAGGATGCTCTCATCGGTAGTGTTGCGTGGTTCCCCGATCAACACCAGACGAACGTCAGAGTCGTACCTTACCAAACGGGCCGATCTTTCCTTCCTCGTCCTTGTCTAAACCTCACCCCTTTCTTACACACCCTTATATGTGGATTTAAACATAACTACACTTGACGTAAATGAGCTATTGCGGTGCAATCGTGAGGTTGAACGTCACCATCGTGACGTGACTGTAGTGAAGTAAAAGTTTCCTATTAGATGATTCCGTAATAGTGGGTGTCCTGCCAACTGCAGCGCTAAATAAATAAATAATAAAATAAATCGAAGTATACACTAACATGCACTTCCCCATCACAGTTTTCGGTAGACCAGTCGAAAGCTTAGAGTTTGTGCCGGCTGGAGCCGTGCCATGGTGGTGGGATGTATCCAGAGGGAGAACCCTCGTAGCATGAGGTACAGATTCGTACCGAATCTCACGTTCTAGTTAGGGAGAATTACCAGCCCCCCCCTCTCGATGAAACATTCACTACACCTACGGTCATAGCTGTTTACGTACCCGGAAACATCAATACAAATAGATTCAGGTGTCTCAGATCAATTATTACGAACTTCTCAGGTACATAGAGGAGTCGACAATGATCCATTTTTCCAAGTGAACAGGTAGCGAGACGTTTCGTAAAACTAAGTTATACATAAGACATTTGCCGCTTCGTTTTAGATCACCGCGAATTATAAGATGTGTGCAAAGTTACGTTTCAACGCAGTTAATATTTCTTGCGCGTGCCGAACACCTGTGCAACCGGGCTACCTTTAGAATCAGTAGCAAATGTTACATGTATACCTCCGTTGTATAACTTTTCTCAACATTTGTTTATAGGCTACAAAATGATCATTTTTGCCCCATTTACATGTCGTACACGTTTAACATTTATTCCGACTCTCTATGTAGAAAGACGATTTGTTTCCGGGAACGTCAACTTCGGAGGTTATTAGTCCCGTAAGGAAAATGCATGACATCCTGAGTAGTGCTGGTGTAATATTAGTAAATCATATGCGTGAAGATACTGATCATTGAGATTTTTGATTCAATTTTCGTAGTCTAGTTCCAAGAGGTTCACGTGCGTTCAAAGTCGGCGTCGTGCTTTCGAAACAACCCGAGCTCAAAATAATTCTATTTTTGAATATCGAGGACTACTGAAATTACAAATTCATATTTTTTCGTCTTGTAACGAGACGCCTCACACGCATGACGATCCCCGAAAGTATCTTCCCCACCGCTCCAGCTGGAACAACCTGTAAGCTCCTGTCATGTGTGATAGTATAGTACATACATGTTTGAGAGAGCGTAAGTAAGTGGATACGAAAGGAAGGGGAAGAGGATACGACAAGGAAGATGATTCTAAGATCGCGCGCGTTCTGTGGCCCGCTTGTTAGAATAGTGCTCCGCCATTCGTCTGATATTGATCCCAAACACCACGGAAACTAGCGATCAGGCCGCTAGACAGCAGCGAATTGGACCGAGCTGTTAACTTGTGTCGATGGACTAGCAATGGGCGAAAGCCGCTGCAGGGTCAGCTCACCTCCTTCAAGTGCATGTGGGGCGGCCAGCGCGCGCGCACGCTGAGCAGGCGCGGGGTCTTGAGTTCGAGGGCGAGGCGCGCGGCCGGCAGCCGCTCCGCGCCCTCCGCCTCCACACAAGCTCGGCGGGCACGCGAGGGCGGCTGGCGGCGCGACGGCACGCGCGCGGTAGCGCAGCCCCGCCAGCTCAGCTCGCCGCCACCGCGGCTCCGCCGCTCCAGCTCCCTGCGCACGGCACCGCCGTCGACGTCCAACTTGCAACTCAAGCGCCACAACTAGCACCTTCATCAGCCATATTGTCATTTCTCTAATGATCCACACTTATTTCCTCGTATTGATTGAGATCGGCGCTATGCCCGAATGTATGAAATGGACGGGGGTCGAATGGAACAATGCGTGATATCAATCAGGCAAAATGCAGTAAAACACGCGGGATTTTTTCAAATTTCAGAAATTTACTAAAAAAATCTTAAATCTAACCTATCTATTTTATTGGGTTAAAGGGAGTGTTGACCCCGGCAGGGATTTTTCTCTGACTAATAATCTTCCGCGGACACAGAATAATGGCATCGCGGGCCGGCAGTTGACACCACTGATTAAGATCCAGTTTCACAATGCAGATTGATATCGTCGTCGAAGTTAGCCGAATTGCTCAACTAAGCGTTGGACACATGATCTAAGATCCAGTTTAACAAGTGCAGAATTGATATCGTACGTCGAAGTTAGCCGAATTGCTCAACTAAGCCCCGTGATGCCACAGAAGTTAAGCAACGCGAGACACCAAGGATACCTGGATGGGTGAGTCCGATTATTAGCTCCCCCGAGCCTCTGTCCGAAGGGCTGAAAGGTATTGACTGACCCTCACGTTACGTGTTAAAAGAAAAAAAAGCTGAAAAAAAATTACTCCAGATTTATCTAAGTTCGATGCTCACGTTTAAGAAGAGCTAAGAAATGCAAAAAGACTCAAATTAGAATAGTATGATGCCAAACTTACACACTTATAGGTGTAATAACAGTACGTAAATAAATTTTCTGTGGCCATCTATAAACACACGAAAGTAGTATACACACCTTAAAATGAAAAACACAATAAAAGCTCTCTTTATGGACGCAAGGTAAAGTAGAAACATTCTTGAAGCTACGATTCCATTAAAATTTCTAAATACGTTTAGAGCTTTTAATTTTAATATGTTTATAGTACCTCCTGGAGAGGGCGACGGATTTGTTGGTGGCCGAAAGGCACAGGAAATAGATTTAAATTCTGTTCTTAAAATGTTGAAGACATGTTTTAAAAAGTCATAGTTATTATAATTCCCGCTTCATACTTATAAATTCTTTGCTAGAACACTTTTTCCTGTTTTATACGGTTGCGTCCGATTACCGTCTGGCCGAGATTAATAATTCGTTGTGAATGTCTATTAATGAACTTACCTCGTTCTAAGTCTTCACTTACTGTAGTGGCATTGAATTTCTTAAAATTAAAGTAATATTAAATTATATTCTATCAAAATTCCCTGTAGTACACACATTCAATAAATTGTAATTCATTATTTTTTATACAAAATAATCAAATGAGTAATAAAAATAACTCAATACATGTCACTCATTTGCTCTCCAATTTATCATGGCCAAAAGATGTGATCCGACGACGCACCCGCTCCCGCGTAGCAATGCATTCTTTGGCGTACCGCAAGGTCCAATTCCGTCGCCAATGAACGCCACAAATCTGCACGCGATGGTTAATCTGGAGAGTAGATCCGTTTCGGGCACCCCACACCCTCCCGCACAAAAATGCATTCTTGGCGTACCACAAGGCCCAATTCCGTCGCCAATTAACGCCACTCATATGTACGCGATCGTTAACCAGGATCCCCGCCCCCTCCAGGCGCCCCTGCCCTGCAATGAATTCTCTAAATACCAATCGCCACTGACCTTCGCGCGAACGGCGTCCTGGTCGTCCACCCTGGCCAGCAGCTCCGCGCCGGCGGCCCAGGCGCGCGCGCTCATCTCGAGCGCGGCGTTGGGCGCCCGCGCGCGCAGCAGCAGCAGCGTCGGCGCGGCGCGCACCTCGGTCACGAGCGTGGCGAGCGCGCCCTGCGCCGGGTCCGCGGGCGTGTAGGTGACGTTGAGCAGCAGCGCTGCGCCGCCCTCGGGGTCCAAGGCGGCGTCCAGCTCGGCGCGCGCGGCACGTGCCTCGCGCGCCAGGCGCTGGTCCGCCACGTGGAAGGCCAAGGCCACGCGCCCGCCGCCGCCCGCGCGCCGCCGCAGGTCGAACGCCGCGCCCGCGCGCCAGTCCAGCCCTGCCACACGCAGGCCCGGCGGGTTATGTGGGGAGCTATGCGAGGGGGTAAAATACCCACTCGTAATTCGGGGGGAGTGAAATATTCCCTGAATGTCAAATTCTAGAAAAGAACGACGTTTCTCGGTATTTCGTCGACTCAAAATGTAGAATTTGCGATCAATATGTTGCAAGATCGGCTAAACATCATTGCGATTTTACATTTTACAGAGACATGTTCGACGAAATCGATCAAGAAATGTAAATCAATGCGCTGAATATCCATTGCAAAAATGAACTGTTACATGAAATAAATATAATAATTTGATGACGATAAACGTAACATTTTGTGACTTCTATTTCGTAAGTTTATTTTAATGCGCATTTGCAGTGAATGCTGTAGGGGTAGGGAGACCCCCCAGGTCAACTATCCACTCGGACTTGACACCAATCGCCCGCCCTAAGCAAATGCGCGGCGTGGAGGTTAGTTTTCAATTAGTAAAGTCGTAGACTTCTACGACCAGTCTAGCGAGAGCTCTTGTCTATCCGGATGACGCCGTATCGAAAGCTATGTTGCCAAGAAACACCAAGACAAGATCAAAACGCAATCTCAGCCTTCGAATCGGCGCCATCCGAACCCCCAAGAGCACTTACGGTTTAATGAATTCGTGGGAACACAAAACGTTTAATCGCATGGCAACTGCAGTTGCTGAACCGAGTAATATTATAATTTATTTTTAGAATATGTACTTCAAGAGTCATCCCTTTTAAATTGATTGGTATAGTTTCAGATGCGGTCTGCACATGTAAATGTTAGAAGAAATGTAATTAGAGAAGAGGAATTATGAAATTATTTAATTTCTAAAAAAACGTTTAAGGAATATGTGGAATGATTGCATCTGTGAGAAAGGGGGTGAGACATCACGATCAGAGTTTTAGAAACTTGCGCCAGGTAATTGGGAAATATTGAAACACAATCGTATGCAAATTCGTGCTATGTGCTGTTAAGGGTGTTTTTATTATTTGGGTGCAGAACTATCAGAAAATACACACTGGGTTCCAGTAGACCCTAGTTGCACCACTGAGGAATTAGCTTTTCTGTAGTATGAGGGCAAGCTAACTATCAGTCAAATTAACGTAAAGCGTTATGTGGCTGTCGTCATAAATTTCGGTGTGAAATCGGTGTGAATTTGAAATGAGGTTGCTGTCCAGTAGACCCCACTATGCAGTTCTAGGGTATTAATATCGTATGTTGCCTTTACCCTTTATACTTGCAACGTGAACGCACCTGGTTCCCTGAGCAGCGCCACGCGCACGTCGCACGTCGCCCGCAGGCGCTCGTCTCGCACGCCCAGCGCGCCGCGCACGCCCACCACCGCGCCGTCGCCCAGCACCGGGTGCAGCAGCGTCAGCACCAGGCCGTCGGCGGCGTCGCTGCGCAGCTCGTACCCGACGCGCCGGCTACGGTCGCGCGCCGCGTCCCACAGCACGGCCGCGCCGTGCTGCCACGCCCCCTCCTCGCTAATCGAATGCTCCAGCCGCGCCTCGAACACGCGCCCCGACGGCAGGTCGACGCGCAGCCGGGCCTCCGCCAAGCCCTCCACAAAGCCCGCCGCCGCCAGCCGCGTCTCCGCGGCGTACCCCAGGGTCCGGTTGCCGCCCCACGTGACGCTGGCGCTGCGCTCCCAGGCGTCGCGCCCGTCCACGAAGGTGGCACGCGCGCTGCGCCCCGGCAGCACCAGGAACAAGCGCCTCTCGAGTCTCATGCGCTTCCAGTCGAGCGTGTCCTTGGCGCCGATGCCGACACGCGTCTTCAACTCGCCGTCCTGCTCCCAGCCCAGCTCCAGCCCCACGTCCTGTAAAAGGGAGGCGGCCAAGCGGAAGGAGACGGGCTTGATGGGGTTGATGCAGGTCACGTCCAGGATGTTGCGGTCGGCGGTGGCGTTGAGGTCGAGCAGGAGGCGGTCGCGGTGGGTGACGGTGGCGAGGAGCGCCGTCGGCGCCCACTGCGTGTTGGGGCCCCAGCGCGCCTCGACGCGCGCCGCCGACGCCGACGCCGCCGTGGAGGAGGCGTCGACGCTGACGAAGGCGTCACGCTCGTGGGGCTGCAAGTCGCCGCGCACGCGCAGCCACACGCGCTCGCCGTCGCGCTCGGCCTCGAAGTCGCCGCGGAAGGCCGACGCCCCCGCGCGCCACGCCTCCACGCTCACGTTCACGCCCGCCGTGCGCCCGTTCACCTCGCCCTCCGCCGCCGCCACGTACACCACCGACTCCTGCGCACGCGCCCAGCAAGCGCATTAGAAAGGGTTAGCTGGTTGTTAGTGATTTCGGTCGCGTCAACTACTGTGGTCATTAGTCACATAAGTGTACGCGAGACCCACTGTACGACGAAATCCTACGCTGACATAACGTCAGCTAGCGAGGTTTTCCTCGATCGTGAATCTCCTACCGTTCCAGCTGGGACAAGCTCTACGCTCCCGACCGGGCTCCCGGCAGGTATGGTAGTGTAGTGCATGTTAGTGGGTGTAGGTAAAAGGTGAGGATAGAATAAGAACGAGGAAGAAAAAATTGCGCGTGAACAGTGGCTCGTTTGTTAGGGTACTCCTCCGGCATTTCGGTGGTTTGATCGGAGAAACCACAGAAAACTACCGATCACAGCAGCCGGCTGCAAGAATTCTCCTCCAGACAGCGACTGAATTCGATCTGTGTCGAAAATCTTGCCACTGTCGGGACTTGAACTTGGAACCTTCCCGTCGGAGACACTACAGGGATACCACTGATGCACTGAGGAACCTCGTGCAATTATTAGAAATAGCTGGATGCGTCTGAGTTCCGCATGCACGAGAGGAGAGCAGACAAATCTTCCGGTTCTGGATAGTTGTCTGAATGCATTGAAAATTTAATGAAAGGGTAGGCTTCTACGGCCGCGGCCGGTGTCTGTTATGATGCACATGGTCGCCATATTGGAAGTGTGTAAACAGCTGTACTACTCGGCTTTGTGTAGAGAACGGTTATGAAGATGTCTTTTATTTACGTTTTACGCGTTATACGGTGTGTGCGTATGTGTGTGTGTGAGTAAGTGGCAAAAACATACGTAACCCGAGGGGATATTTGCTTAGTATAGGCAAATACTAATAGAAAATAGAGATAAAAGTTAAAGAATTATAAATACATAACTAGTAGTGCTAGTTTAGCGTACAATGTCAGAAATATCATTAAGTTTAATGTAGATTAACGATAGTACATGAAACTTATTGCAACTTTGTATATTAAAAAGAGGTTAATATATTTGTACATTAAATTTTAATACATAAGTTAGAATGAGTGTAGATTTAAAGTAGAGGTTCTCTGCTTTTCTTTTGTCTCTCATCATTCACATCGATTATTCATATTCACCTTTCCTTTCAAGATCATTCATTCTTTTCAGGTATGACCATAAAGCTTTGACTTGCATGCTAATATAAATGCATACATTAAATTTAATCTGCGTCCATGATCATTACTTTAACATACACCTCAGTAATGTGGAAATTTCAGACAGTGTACGAATAAAATGTTGGCGGGTAAAGGAATTATAGAAGTGGCAGTTTGACATGAATATCTCACACACTTGTATGAGTTTCTCACATTAATTTCAGTACGAATTCTTCGACAGTTACAGGTGTATAGTCCATAATATGAGACATGGTCATCACGTTAAATCATGTTTTGTGGCTGGCGCCTACCTCGAGGTGGAGGACGTGCGTGAGCGCGAGCGCGCCGCTCTGCAGGCGCGGCAATGTAATGTGTAAATTTCAGACAGTACCAATAAAATGTTGGCGGACAAAGGAATTATAGAAGAAACAGTTTGAAACGTGTATCTCAGACACGTTTGTATGAGTTTCTCACTTTAATTTTAGTACGAATTCTTCGACAGTTACAGGTGTATAGTCCATAATATGAGACATGGTCATCACGTTAAATCATGTTTTGTGGCTGGCGCCTACCTCGAGGTGGAGGACGTGGGTGAGCGCGAGCGCGGCGCTGTGCAGGCGCGGCAGGAAGGGCGCGTGGAAGGCGGCGCGCAGGCTGGCGTTGAAGAGGCCGCGCGCGCGGTAGTCCAGCTCCAGGCCCAGGTCGCGCTCCAGGCCCGGGTACGCGACGCGCGCCACCGCGCGCTTCTGCTCGCCGTTCTGGTACGCCACCTGCAGCGCGTAGCGCTCGTGGCCCGCGAACGGCGTCGTCAGCTGCACCTGCACCCACACGGACACGTTAGCTTCTCCTAAAGACCGTTTTGCACGAGTTTTAGCTTTCATCATTTTTCTAAACAGGAAATGGATGTTCCTTTCACCTTCCTTTGTTTTGGTATCGAAAACAGAATGAAAGAAATCTAGCGTTTTACTCGATTATTTCGTCTTTTGCGTGTAATCCTGATGGGAATATTGACTTTGTGCGCTGCAGAAAGCACTGAAAGGCAAACAGCTGAACATCACATTTCTGGTTACAAATTAATTTATGTTATTGTATAACTGAGCACAGAACGAGGCAACGTTAGCACTCATTACGTATTTCTCGCAACCCTAATCACTTCACGTTACAATCCAATGCATTAGAACGCTCGCAAAATTGTATAAGAGAAATAAATCGCACCACAATCATAGCCAACAAAGAAAAATTCTCCAAAGGAATCGCAGTAGCTAAACTGGATGAAATATGAACTAAATTTTAATCTTGCGTCATCTTTTTGTACAAATTACATACCGCTCCATCATTTTTCTATATCGATAAAAAAGTGATGACAAAATGATCGTCTAAAATGGGTTTTATACTGTATTGTTACAATATCGTCTTAAGGCCACCAATCAGAGAAAAGTAACGCCTCTCTCAAAAGCCTTAAAGATCTTGCAGGCCGCCGTAAAATAAGCGTGTGTGTGTGTGTGTGTGTGTGTGTGTGTGTGTGTGTGTGTGTGTGTGGGTATAAGGATGTGAGGAAGTGAAGAGGATAGGACAAGTAAGAAAAGGGGAAGATACCGCGCGGACTGTGGAACGATTGTTACGGCCATTTTATACGATACATTTTTCGTACACATTCTCATACAGTTCTAAGTCCCAAACTAGAATAATAAAAGCCAAAAGTAATGTTTACACGGCCTGCTCGTTTTTGACCAGCAGTCTGTACGAGTGGCCACGAGACACAGTCAGGGGCTCTACCAGCACACAAATGAATTGCCGAATGCGCAAATTAAAGTACATTCATTTACGACATTTGTGTACGTGAGTTCTGAGCAACTTTATTGAAACCTTTTTTTTAAGTTTTAATGAAACTTGGGGATAAAAAATTGAAAGACCGTCATCATTGCTACGACCAGGTTGTCTCTGCGAAAGCTTTATCAGGTACGCAGAAAAAAAGCTTCAAATGGAGTAGTCTTGGCTACAGAATAAAAAATCACTAACCTCACAATTGCCGGGAGAATAAAATAAACTCACCAGAAAATTCGTTAACTCAAATACATCATGCCAATAAACAAAATCTCACGAATCACACGTAACCTAACCACAAATTTGAAAAGGTTGCACAAATTCGCCACGACCCAAATTCGTTAGTGAACAATTCTGCCGCCAAAAGCATTAGTATGTATATTTTGTGTATGCAAAAATTAAACATGCTCAAAAGTTTTCATGTAGAAATCTTTCAGTGTAGACTGCTTACTCTCTGTATGTTCTATCTGCACGAAAACTGTTCCATTGTAGAACTCACGCCCATGAGGGGTGTATCTCACGGAATTTGATCTTTTTGGAAACAATTAAACAATTAGGTTGGCGACGTTTCGGAATCTTTTCATTGCATCATCAGGGCTTACTAAATAATATGAAAAGTTAACAATCTCTCAGCGAAATTATGTCGATGTTTCAACCGAAATCCACATGGAGTTGCTGCACGGAGATGCAATGTAACTTGGACAGAATGTTGCTGAGTGATTGTAAAATTTCCAAATAATTTAGTAAGCCCTGATGATGGAATTAAAAGATTCCGAAACGTCGCCAAACTATTTCTTTCCACTCTGATCACATCCCGTAAACTACATCCTTGAAAACCGTTCCGCGTGATCGGGCCTGAATTCGTGTTCAGAAAGATCGCACGAGAAGGGCGAACGCACCTCGCTCACGATGAGCCTGTCCTGCAGCACGAAGCGGTGGCGGAGCTCGACGCGCGAGGGGCCCCACTCGATGTAGTGCGCCAGGGCGTCGCTGTGCGCCACGCGCTCGTTGACGCTGAGGCGCAGGCGCTGCAGGCCCTGCAGGGGCGAGTCCAGCTGCGCGGCCAGCGCGAACGAAGGAGCCCGCCGCGCCATCAGCGTCGCCCGTGTGGCGAAGCCCGGCGCGCGCGCCTCCGCCGACGCCGACAGCGACTCCGGGGTGCTCACGCTCGCCGCCTGCAACAGCTCGGCTTAGCTCACCGCCTTCGTTTGACGCTCGCGGAGCATATAAACCCATGTCTGACTCCGCGGCTTCAAGAGTGAAGGGTAGAAACTATAAAAGTCGTTAGCGTATCGAACATTAAACCCAAGTTGGCAGGATCAAACGCGAAAAAAGCGGTGGATTTTTAGGCAGAAAAAATCCTTCAATTACTAATATTAGGAAGGGAGTTAAAGCCGGCTGTCCCGTGTTGTTGATTTACTGGATGTAAAAGATCCGCAAGCGTAAAACAAGCTTCTAAGTAAAACTCAAGTTACCTGTTCCTAGATACCTCATTTCTCTGTCAGTCGGTGAAATGATCAAATCATCACCATAATCAAAAAAATTGGATCCGTTTTCCAGAAAAGTTTGAAAATGTTGAGGCTTCATGTTAAGTATCCCAAAAAATAAAAATATTTACTTCAAACTCAAAAGACCTGACGTTCCTTTAAATCGATCGAGGAATATAAATATTGGGAAAATTTAGCTGAACTGTTTTGGCATTAGCTTTGACCACAGACTGACAAACAGACAGTGGTCAATCAATTTTTCACAAATATTGTTTCTGACTGTATAAAGTGTAAGATGAAGTAATTTACTACATAAAGGAACACGATTTATCTACTTTTTCATTATCAGGGCCCGACAACAAGAGTTTTTGTGTCGAAAATTTGCCGTTTTCCGGCGCACGATTACATAGTTTTATCTTCCTACGAAGTAAGTGCAGTAAGTACCTGAAAGAGGTACTCGGCGTCGGGCAGCGTCAGCAGGGCCTGCAGAGTCGTCTCCGAAGAGTTCTCTGCAATGCGAAGCGGCACCGTCAGGCCGGCTGAATACTTCTTGTCGCTTGTCTCAGTTCGGGAGATGATGTTGCCCTCAGCCTGCAACACGCGCAAGCCTTCACCAATCAACACTCGTGTGCCAAAACGCCCAATAGCGCAGTTAAAAAAGGATACTAACCGTAGCATTACCTCCTTTAAAAACGGTAGACTCTCGTGAATTACTAGTATGATAATTCATATGGAGCAATAATTTAAAATAATTTGGTACGGTACCTGTAGGTCATTGATCGACTGACATCACTGCTTTTCAAAACATTTATCATGCAAGATTTACTGATTAGTAATTTGGGGCTCGAACTGCAAAGTTCATTTGTCCAGTGAATGTAGTGCGTGTTTTTGTCGTGGAAAATGTCGGTGATCTTCCCCACTGGATGACATCAGGCGCCAGCCTATGTGGGGTTGCGTGGTTTTTCCCACCCAGTATCTCGCCCCCGTAGGGACAAGTTGTAAGCTCCTGACTGGTTAGGAACTGGCACTGTACTACTACGCGGCATGTGTGGTTGCGTAGTGCATGTAAGTGGAAGAGTGTGTAAGGGTGAGAATCTTCTTCTTTGGTCCTATCTTCCATATACGGAAGTTAGGTGCCCCATAACGGGTATTCTTGGGATAAATTATTCAGGATGCTTTCCCGTTGCCTTCCCTGAAATTATGATGATGATGATAGGGGGTGAAAGGACGAACACAATACAACCATGCCCAAGGCGGGACTCGAACCCGCGATCTTTCGGACGAGATCGCTACGGTACTACTGCCTTAGCGATCTCTGCCATCGGATCGGCAAGGGTGAGAATAGAGCAAGGATAAATAAGGAAAAATTGCTACGTGTTGATTGGAGAAACCACGGAAAACTACCGATCAGAATAGCCGGCCACTAGAATTCTCCTCCACACTGTGGCTGAACTCGTACAAGCTTGCCTTTGCCTGTTGCCTGTCATGGTCATCTCCAGAGCTGAAGGGCCGCTTGTGCCCTGAGGAAGGGCATTCACAGTGCCCTGATTTTCAGCGCGGCTAAGATGGAATGGAGTATGAACACTAATACAACCAATCAATGCAGTGCCCTTGACTGTCGTGGCCATCGTCAGGGCTGACGTGCGCCTTGAGTCAGAAGCATTCGCAGGGCCTTGGTCTCACCTTGAGCGCGTCGGCGGAGAGCGCGGCGGCGGCTCGCAGCACGACGGCGGCGCCGTCGCCCGTGGCCAGCTGCGCGTCGGCGTCGAAGCCCAGGTCGTCGCGGTGCAGCTCGCCGGATACGCCGAACGAGCGCACGTGCGAGAAGTCGGAGCTGTCGAAGGCGAGCGACGCGCTGCGGCGCTGGGGGCTGTAGGCGCCGCGCACCGCCACGAACCGGCGCGCGTTCCACTCGCCGCCGCGCGCCACCTCGGCCTCCAGCGACTCGCCGTCCACGCGCAGCCGCGCGGACACGCGCTCCGCGGCCAGCAGCAGCGGGCTGCGCGCGGCGATCGACGAATGCACCGGGAAGGCCAGCCGGTGCGTCACCTGCCACACACACACCAGCGCTCAGTCCAGCTAAGGCCCTCACTGGATTCAAACTTAAATCTTGTTTTATACGAGGAGGTTACCACGCCGCCCGTCACGAGGGGGAACGATCCGCACATGATTTCCTCGACATATATTAACGTATGCGTTAAGTAAATATAATATGTTATACTTTGCCATTCTCACCTTGATTTGTATACACATGTACATGTTATTTATTTTTAACTAATCTGTGTAAAAAAAGGCAAAATCAAGAATGTTAACATCAATGAGGTCATTTTATAGTACACACGGGGTATTGCACATCATCACAGCGATCGATACATACCGCCTCCTATGACAGATGAATCGCAGTTTATTATTGGCCAGAAGGGAGGCGGTAAAAAAATCGGATAGAAAAAGTTACACACTTTTTATGATACACCGCTCTGACTGTGACACTTTTGTACAATTAAATACTATTGGTTTTAACTTTACCAGTGAAATAATCATCGTTATAAAATATTATACCGAGTGTGTGCAGTAAAAATAAAAATACAATTAAATTATTGTACATACAATTAAATTATTGTAAGTAGTTGAAAAAAGTGACTAATCGGCCTCCTCACCCACAACGCCCGTGCTTGCACTCACCTGAGGCTGACGCTGTGGCTTGGTGCGAAAAATGATGGGGCAATGGAAGAACGAGAGACAGGGCAATTTGTCTACTTCAGGCGTACCTCGAGTCTGTTGGCGGTGTGAATATTGATGGGACAATGCGAGGGCAGTGCGATTTCTGCTTTGGGCGTACCTCATGGCTGTTGCCGGTGTGGCATGAATGATGATGGGACAATGGAAGAACAAGAGGCAGGGCAGTGCGATTTGTTTGCTTTGGGCGTACCGCAAGGCTGTGAGTCGGTGTGACAATGGGATAATGGAAGAACAAGAGGCAGAGCAGTGCGATTTGTCTGCTTTGAGCGAATCTGAAGGCTGTTGTCGATGTGGTATGAATGATGACGGAACAATGGAGAAACGCGAGGCAGGACAGTGCTATTCGTCTGCTTTGGGCGTAACTCAAGGCTGTTGTCGATGTGACATGAATGACTCCGGGATAATGGAAGAACGAGTGATAGGGCAGAGGAATCTGTCTGCTTTCGACGTACCTCGAGGCTGTTGTCGGTGTCTCTGAAGCGCAGGTGCATCGCGGCGTCCACCTGCTCGTCGAGCACGGCCAGAGAGCTGTTGAGCGCCAGCAGCGTGTGGCCGTCGGCGTCCACGCGTGCCTCTAGCGCTGACCGCGGCGAGCGGCGGAATCGCAGCACCACGGCGTGGCGGTGTTCCCCGTGCGCCAGCTTTACCTCCGCCCCCGCACCTGCGACACGCGACACACTCACGCACGCTGCCATAGAATCAACACAGAAAGCGAAGCCTGAAATAAAAAACCTTTTATAAACTCGTCATTTGGGGCTGGGGGAGACATTATGATGCACATGCTAATATTCCCGCTTTATACAGTCGCGATTCATTCAAAAATATAAATTGCTATTAATATTATACATGATGTCCCGATTTCACTCTACCGTTTCATTTACCGATGCCGGAGAGGAATATGTAAAATGTTTGTACAAAAGATTAGTAATATCGCAGAAAAGAGTGTTTTCTTCTCGAAGTAGTGTACTTATTTGTTACTGAGAAATGTGCATGCTATTGTAGGGCCTATTTGGTGGTGTGATTGATATAAACCCTATGATGCATACACAGTACCTCTGAGGCTCAAACTTGTTTATTTCGCTTTTTACTCTGCGTAGCTGTGTTTCTAAGCGCATGCTCTCCGTGTAATCTTTCTTCTATTTTTTCAAGATTCAGTTTAGTCACTACCATAGGAAGAATTCTTAGAAGTTATATAGGTTCTGAAATTTGATACTAAAATTTAGAAAACTGAGTTTTTCCCACAATTTAGTGTACACATTCGTAACCGAGAAGTGTACAGTGCCAATTTTATTTAGTGGTATGGTTGATGTAGATTGTCGCGCCGGTGCGCTGCCTTCGATCTTATCATGCTTCTCCAAGGGCGGTCGTAGGGGGCAGAACGTAGCGGGTTATTACCACAGCGACCGCCGTCAGAGGTAAAGATCGGTGGTACAGACGGCAGCAAGAAAAGTAAAAACGTTTCTTCACCTTGCAGCCGGGGACTTAAAGATGTCTAATTTTCACAAAAACTGTTCAAATACAGTAAAGCGCAATTTGGGGTGGATTTCTACAGCTCGTGAAATTCAAATACGTGATTCCGCGTAAGTGCCATAGTAAAAAAATGCGTAAAGGCCCATTCACAATGCAAACATAAACATAAGCATGGCGTTAACACAAAAGTTAAGACTAGGTCCATAAGGAGGCTCATCCACAATGCGGTCGCATAAGCATAACACGTAAGACGTTAATTTGAAAGCTTGTAAGCTTATAGCTTCTGTGCGTATGCTTACGTAAGACATAAGAAATGAACCAATCACAGACCGGTAACTCAAAATCGAGAATCGATATTGGAGGGAAGTCGATAGAAGAACTAAAGCCAACATGGGACATAGAGTCTATATCTTGAAATCGATTCTCACACCCAACCAGAAAGTCTCACAGCCAATAGAAACTTATTTTTCTTACGTTTATGTTAGGCATTGTGAATACTTCAGTCCATCGCTTATGTTAATGTTTGTGTATATGCACTATGCTTATGTTTTGAACAGGCCTTAACTCCCGATGGAGCGCGCGTAAGTTGAAAAGAGTCGCAGGCGTCGCGGTCCAGAGCGCGGACCGCCGCGAGCGAGCGAGCGGGCGTCACCTCCGCCGTCGGCGTCATCGTGCGGCCCCAGCTGCAGGTGAAGCTCCGCGCGCTCCGCCAGCAGCGCCACGCAGTCCAGCTGCACGTCGGCCTCCACGCGGCCCTGCGCGCGCGCCACGCGCCACTCCAGCGAGTGCCGGCGGCCGTCGGGCGCCTGCGCCAGCGCCAGCCCGTTGCGCACCTGCGCGCGCGGCGCGGACCGTTCTCAGTGCATTGCAACGGAGGCAGTACAATTATTACATCTTCATTTCAGTCAATATGCCTGTACATAGGCATGGATGCTGAATTGCATTGTCCGTTCTTGGAATTTTCAAGACTAAATGTATTTGTATGTTAATAATGTCATCAACAAATTGACTATTTGTATTTTACATTGTAATAGTTTTATTGCATAACATACTTTTATAACAATTTTCATTCATTGATTAAATAATTGTTTCTTTATAGTAAAAATTATAATAGAAAGTAGCTAAAGGAAGAACGATAAAAGAATAGATGTAATAAAAATAAAAAAGACAAAGATGAAGTAAACAGAAAAGGACGAAAATAATATGCAAAAAAGGAGAAAAAAGGTACACGCAGGAAATGAAGCAGGGAAATGAAAAGGAATACAGAAAAAGCTGAAAAAAGACTAAGATGAAACATGAAAGGGAGAACAGAGACATATAATCATGAAAGGTGGAGAAAGAATAAAGAAAATGCAAAGAGAAGAAAGAGAATGCAAATAAGGGCGAACAAAAGAACACAAAATGAAAGATAAAGAAGAAGGATCAGGAGCATGAAAAGGAAAATGTAGAAAAATACTTCGAAGAAGAAATGACGGGCAAAGTAGGGAAGAAAAAACAACCGCAGCCCAGCAGTAAAGGAGGATGGGAGGAGGATGGCAAGGAGGAGGGGAGGGGGAAGGGAGGAGGGTGGAAGGGAGGATGTGTGGAAGAGCGAGGGGCGGAAGGGAGGAGGGTTGAAGGAAGGAGTGGAGGAAGGGAGGAGGGATGGAAGGAGGAGGGTGGAAGGGAGGATAGGTGGAAGGGAGAAGTGAAGGAGGGAGGAGTGTTTGAAGGGAATGGAAGGAAGGGAGGAGGGGAGGAA